ATAATATTTCTTTTTAAATACCTAATTGAATTCTTTTGTGAAATTTTATTGAAGTAGTAGATATTGAAAATAATTGAATTTTTATAAATTATATAAATTAATGAAATTTCTACAAAGAATTTTATTAAAATTATTTTTAAAATAAATTGAATTGTTAAAAAAAGAATTTCATTAAAATTTTTTAAAAAAAATTTAATTCTTTCAAGAAATTTAATTAAAAATGTATTGACAATAATACTTAAAATCTAAAAAATAAATTATAGGAAGGCTTTTTAAAATAATTGGATTTCTTTGATGAATTTTAATAAAATTTTTACGAATAATTATATTTTTCGAGAAATTCCATTGAAATTGTATTAAAAATAATTGAAATTCTGCGATGAGTTATATCATTTATGAAAATAATTGTAAATCTATAAAGTTTTTTATTATTTATAAAAATTAGACGAATTTTTATTCAGAATACATAATTTTTATTTAGACGAATTTCTATGTAAAAAAATCTTTATTTAGACGAAGTTTTACTTAAACGAACTTTTAATTAGACGAATTTTTATTTAGAGGAATTTTTATTTATTTGAATTTTTATTTGAACAAATTTTCAATTTGACGAATTTTTATTTAGAGGAATTTTGAATTTGACGAATTTTTATTTGAACGAAATTTGAATTCGATGAATTTCTATTGAGAGGAATTTTTAATTTGACAAATTTTTATTTAGTCGAATTTTTATTTGAACGAATTTTTATTTAGAGGAATTTTGAATTTGACAAATTTTTATTTGAACGAATTTTGATTCGACGAATTTCTATTTGGAGGAATTTTTAATTTGTCGAATTTTTATTTATTCGAATTTTTATTTGAACAAATTTTTAATTCGATGAATTTTTATTTAGAGGAATTTTTAATTTGATGAATTTTTATTTGAACGAATTTTGAATTCGATGAATTTCTATTTAGACGAATTTTTATTTAGTCGAATTTTTATTTGAACGAATTTTGATTTAGTAGAATTTTTATTTGAACGAATTTCCCGTGCGTTGATAAAAAGAGATAAGATTTACAAATTTTAAAGAAAAGTTGAAACAAAAGATTAAAAGGAGGGTTTATTTTGCTGAAAAGGAAAAATTGGAGGGTAATAATTTGTAATAGGATAAATAATAGGAAGACCGACAAAAGTCGTTATCAAGAGCAATTCATGATTATGAAATAGTGAATATACTTTGGCGGACAAGTAGGTTTTCAATTAGGATGAAAGTGGAGAAGGGGTGCTCGCGAGATGAGAGAGAGAGAGATGAGAGAGCACTGTGGGGGGATTGATATATATTGAAGATGGAGATGATGTGGTGAGAGAAGGAAAGCGAAAAATTAAGGGAGTTTAGAGAAGAGACCGAGAAAGAGAATAATACACGTTAAAGCCAGCAACAGCAACTACTCTAATTGGCCACTTTGTCCATTTATTCGATTTATTTAAATTATGGGACAATTGACAGTAGGCATTCTATTTTTTAAATCTCCCCGGCCACCGGGCTGATTGGTCGAGATTGGCGTGAGACACTGGCCCCACAGATTCCCCAGTTGTGGGCTTAATCAACTTTGATTGCTGGCTCCTCTCTTTCTCTCCCTACTCTCTCTCTCACTCACTCTTTCTCTCTCATTCTCTCTCTCTCTCTTTTTCACTCATTCTCTCTCCTTGTTTCTTTGCTCGCGACGGACGCGCGCTTCGTACTTTTTATTGTATTCTGCTTTACATCACTCCCTTATTCTTCTCTCTCTCTGTTCCTCTCTTTTCTCTCTTTCTGTTTTTCTCTCTGTTCCTCTCTTTCTATTTTTCTCTTTTCTCTGTCCCTCTCTTTCTGTTTTTCTCTTTTTTCTCTCTCTCTCTCTCTCTCTCTCTCTCTCTCTCTCTCTGTTCTGAAAAAAAGAGAGACGAATAGTCGGCGTATCAGAAGAGAGACAGAGAGATAAAAAAAAAGAATTTTTTTTTTATCTCTCTGTCTCTCTTCTGATACGCCGACTATTCGTCCTTGTCTTTTATTGGATACACAGCAGATCGAAATATTGTGGGAATGTCTCCAAGACGCGAGGAACTCGTGAGATTGTCCTCTCTCTGCTAAATGAGAGAAACGTGGCATCCCCCCTCCTTTTCGCCCTCACCCCCACCACCCCAATTACGAGACTTAAGCCTCCCCCCACTCACTTTGTCAGTTGATTTCTCCGCCCCCACGATAACCCCCCCCCCTCCTATTTTATTTATTTATATGAGAATCGTCGTGATCACGATCGACTTCTCTTTCATCTTTTCATTCTCCTTTTGATTTTATTTCTCGACAAGGGGGAATTATATCAACGATAATACCAGAGATTCCTCATTTCGATTTTATTTCATTCCCTCAAATAGTTTTCAAAATGAAAAAAAGAAAAAAGAGAGATGGAGTGAATATTTATTGCATTAACTATTTATATACGATTCGCAGAGTTAATAATTTTAATGAAAAGAAAGAAAAAAGGAAGAAAAGATAATTGGCGAAGGGAAAATATTTGCGAATTGGTTTATTATATGCGGTAGATTTGAGAAAAAGGAGAGGAATGGGTTTTTAAAATGGACCGGAACCTTGAATTAGGACCGGTTATGTTGATTAATGATTTGGTGAGTATTTCTTTCAATCTGCATTGGACATTTCTTTTTAGGTGGTTTCGCTTGTATTCGAGTTACTTTTGTTTTTAACTTGTACTATTATAATGAGGATGGAGTGTATTTTTTGAATATTTATGTTTATCTCGGACTGCGGGGGTATTGTTATTTGTAAAAAGAAGAAAAAGAGATGAAGGTTTGTTATTTGGCGAAAGAAGCAAAGAGATTGAGGTTTTAATTAATTGGGTTAATTGGGAAAATAAAGGAAAAAAAGAAGTTCAATTATAGGCTTCGGATATTATGACTTTTTTCACTATTTTAAAAAAATTGACAAAATATAGACAAATCTTTCGAAAAATTATTTTTGACTGATTTTTCTAATTAAATTTTCGAAATATATAATTGAAAAAATTCTCAATAATTGAAATTTTGTCAAATTCAACTGAAAATAATTAAAAAATTCATAAAATTCTTAACAAGAATTCAATTATTTTCATAAATAATAACATTCTTTGTAAGAATTCAATTATTTTGTATAAATAGTAAAATTTTTTGCAAATATTTCATTATTTTTAAATAAAATTTCATGAACGAATAGAATTATTTTCTAAAATTTTGAATAAATCCATCGAAACAATTAACTTATTTTTTTAAACATAGTAAAATATTTGCAAAAATTCAATTATTTTCAAGAAAATTTCACGAAAGAAAGATTTTTAATAATATGTTTCAAACAAGTTCAATTACTTTCTAAAAATTTAATAAATCCTTCGAATAATTCAATTAGAATTATAAATCGTAAAATTCTTTTAAAAAATTCAATTATATATTCAAAACAAGTTCACGAAAGAATTCAATTTAAAAAAAAAATTTAATAATATATTTCTCGGAAAAATTCAATTATTTCATAAAATTTTGATAAATTCTTCGAAAAAATTCAATTATATTTATAAATAGTAAAATTCTTGCCAAAAATTCAATTATTTACAAAAAAAATTCCACGGAAGAATTCAATTTTTTTCTTAATTCGTTAAAAAATTTTTCATAAGAATTCAATTATTTTCAAAAATATTATTAAAATTAAATAATTAAACTAATCTCAATTTTTAATAAACACCATTATTTTAAAAACTTGAAAGAAATTTCTTTCTTGTTCATTAAATTCAATTATTTTCAACATTTTTAAGTAAAGAAACTCAATTATTTAAAAAAAAAATGTTAAGAAATTGTTCAAAAATTTTAACAAAATTCTTTGCGAGAATTCAATTATTTTTCTAAATAATAAAATTCTTTGAGGAAATTCTATTATTCTCAAATTTTTTTGATAACATTTTTTGCAACAATTCGATGATTTTTAATATACTATACTTTTAAAATTTGAAAGTATGTTTAAAAAGAAAAATTATTAAAAGAAAGTTAAGAAATCTATAAATTTTCAAAAATTATTTAAAAATATATTTAAAAACTTAATTTTGAGAATTTCTTTATTACAATTTTTTAAAAATCAGTTACTTTCAACATTTTTGGTTAAATATTTTCAGTAATTTAACTTAATAACTTTTATAAAAACGAACCATAAATAATAATTATTTAAATATTTATTTAACAAAATTATTCAAGTTTTGAAAAATCTATAATTAGAGCACTATTAATTAATTAATAATTAAATAGATTGAAATAATTAATAAAAATAAAATAATTAATTGTTTATAATTAAAGTTTTTTTGCAGATATCAAATTGAGACAAAAAACTTACGTTTTTTGTCTCAATTTGTTATCTGCAGAAAAACTGCATTATTAGCGAAATTTTCCATTTTTTTTAGTTACGACTTTCGCGACAAGAGAAAAATTTATTTTTTTTTTAGTGAAATTGATTGAAATTGTGATTCACCCCCTCCTCCCCCTGCGCCCTTCTGAATGTACCGACGAACACTCATCCTATTTCCTTGATAATTCCCATAATGCTGTGGGCGGATATTCCAATAAAGGGGGAAGAGCCCCTGGACCGAAACGTTGAAAGCTGGGACAACTTGATTCGATAGATTACAGTTTATGGCAACGTTAGTCGCGAGTATGAAAAAATTAATTCAATTCCTATTTCGAATTTTTTTTAATTTCTTTCTTTTCGAAAAGAAAAAGTAGACTGCACCGTATTTCTTGTATTTTTCTTTCCTGATTTGTTACTATCAGGAAAATTTTAATTTTCGACAAAAGAATTCTTGAATTATTCTTGATTGTTGAATAATAATCGTGAAATCGAAAAAACCGTGTATTTAAATGTCATTTGGATTCTCTTTCCTTTTTTTCGGTTCTTTTTTTTCGATAACTTTATTTTAGCGAAAAAAGAAGGAAATGTTCAACTCACCGGAAACCTTCGGGTCAGCTGCATCCACTTTCATTGCTGCCAAGTTTGCTATTGTCGACGGTACCTAAAATAAAAAAATTTAATTTAGTTAAAAGAGCAAAAAAAATTTAATTTAGTTAAAAGAGCAAAAAAAATTTAATTTAGTTAAAAGAGTAAAAAAAAAATTAAGTAATTAGCATTAAAAAAATTAAACATTAATTTAAACATAAAGATTAACATTAACTTTTAAAGATAAAAATTTATTTTTAAGTTGTAAAAGTTTATTTTTAAGTTGAAAAAGTTTATTTGCAAGTATAGGTACAGGAAAAGTTTTAAAATAGAGAATTTTCAAGAGATATGAAAAAAAAATTGCTAAGCTTGGAGATTGAATGATTAGAATTGTGATAATATATAGGACAGTGGCGATTGGCATGTCGCATATTAAGTGACCTCGAGTCATTTAATAGAGATCTAATTGAAAAATGTGCGAGAGTCATTTATCGATTCCATAAATAGCGATTTATCTGTTAATCTTCTAACACCGAGAAATTGCTATATACAACTTTACGTATGTATATATTTATATAAATATAAGAATCGAAAAATTTACAACATACAATATACATTCCGTTACCGATCGTTATTTATATACGGCCAACAATGGAGGTTTAACGAAAAATATTGCGTTGTAATTTACTGAAAAATAGTTTTATGTTTCTTCTTTTCCTCATGTTTCATCAATAAATCACATCATTTATAACATTTATACTTTGCATATTTTATGCAAATTATAATACTTAAAATGTTAGTAAATTTTTGTATATAATTCTTGTGGAAAACAATTTTATTTGATCGGTTATTAATAATGTTCATCAAATGTATAAGATGTTTATTATCTTATGTTTATTATTATTTTTTTATTATTATTCTCATTATTATTATTCCTCTTTTCTTCTTTTTTATCACCCTTAAATTATTAAAATCTACTAAAATACCTAGTCATACACTTTCTCCCCCTGTCCCCTTATTTTTATGAAAAACTTAGAAAAATTGTCATTTTTTGTAAGGTAGAAAAATTTTGAGTTTATTTATTTATTTAATTTCAGTTATCTTTGAAAAAGAAATTTTTACATCTCGCAAACTTTGGAAAAATTTTAGTCTTTTGAAACTTATAAACTTATTTTATAAATAAAATTTTGAAACTTAAGATCTTTTTATATTATTTCTCAGGCAATTTTTCCATAAAAGGTAACAAACAGAAAATAAATTTTACTTCTGAGAAAAATCCAAATTGTTTGGAATTTTTGACAAATAATTGTATTATTTTCAGAATAAATTTTACTAAATTTACTGCGTATATTTTACTAATTATTTTCTTTACTAATTTAAAAAATTTACTACGGATATTACAAAATTTACTCTTGAAATAACGATTTTTAAATGGAAAATTATTAAAATTTTCCTCGAACATTACAATTATTAAAAATTCTTATTTTTAGAGTAAATATTATTATTTTTGAAGTAAATTTTTCTAATTTAAAAAAAGTAATTGTTTTTTAAAAATAGTAAAACTTATTCTGAAAATAACAATTTTTAATATTAAATTTTAGTATTTTTAAAGGAACGTTTTCCAAGTGGTAAATTAACTTTACTAATTTTTTTCTGAAATTTACTTCGTATGTAGTAAAATTTATAGAATTTTGAAACAAAAGTAGCGAAAAATTTTGATTAAATATATAAAGAAAGTTAGACTACAGAAAAAGATAAGAAATTATTTTTAGGATTTATTAAAAAGATGAAAAATAATAATAATGATAATAAAAAATAAAATAATAAAAAAAAATAAAAAATAATAGTAATAAAAATATATAATAAATTTTATTCGGTTCAAATAAAATTTTACTTCGTTGAAGTAAATATTATTTGTTTCAAATTAAATTTTCTTGATTCAAAACAATTTTATTTGATTCAAATAAACTTTCTTTGCTCCAAATTAAATTTTACTTGGTTTAAATTAATTTTATTTGGTGCAAATTAAATTTTATTTGGTGCAAAGTAATTTTTATTAGGTTCAAAGACAATTTTACTTGGTTGAAATAATAAATATTATTTGTTTCAAATTAAATTTTCTTGATTCAAATAAATTTTACTTGATCTAAAAAAAACTTTCTTCACTCCAAATTAAATTTTACTTGATTCAAATATATTTTATTTGGTGCAAATAAATTTTTATATGGTTCAAAAAAAATTTTTCTTGGTTGAAATAAATATTATTTGTTTTAAATTAAATATTTTTGATTCAAATAAATATAATTTGATCTAAAAAAACTTTCTTTTCTCCAAACTAAATTTGCTTGGTTCGAATATATTTTATTTGGTGCAAATTAATTTGTATTTGGTTCAAATAAAATTTTACTTGGTGGAAATAAATATTATTTGTTTCAAATTAAATTTTCTGGATTCAAGTAAATTTTATTTGATCTAAAAAAACTTTTTTTTCTCCAAATTAAATTTTACTTGATTCAAATATATTTTATTTGGTGCAAATTAATTTTTATTTGGTTCAAATAAAATTTTTCTTGGTTGAAATAAATATTATTTGTTTCAAATTAAATTCTCTTGATTCAAATATATTTTATTTGATCCAAATAAACTTTTTCTGCTTCAAATTAAATTTTACTTGGTTTAAATATATTTTATTTGGTGCAAATCAATTTTTATTTGGTTCAAATAAAATTTTATTTAGATAAAATAAAAATTTTACTTAAAAGAAATAAATAATTTATTGAGCTCTGAGACAAACAGTTTTTATGAAAGTCGGTTAAATGGCATTTTACTTAAAATACTCTAATTATTGGTTGACATAAATTTTATTTGATTCAAAATAAAAATTATTTGATTTATTCATTGATTTAAATAAAAATTATTTGATTTAAATAAAAATTATTTGATTCAAGTAAATATTTATAGATTTAAATAAAAATTATTTGATTGAAGTAAATATTTATTGATTAAAATAAAAATTATTTGATTCAAGTAAATATCTATTTGATAATAGAAAGTAATCGTTTTTTTTTTAATCAAAAACATTTTCTTCAGTGTAATAGAACGTGAGTGAAAAAAAAATCGTTGATAATTAAAAAATAAATCACGAAATTAAATTAAATTCCAGAAAAAAATAAGAAATAAACTTTCAAAAATGTTTCAAATGAATATTGAAGTAGATTTAAAGTTCAGTATCGAATTTCCATAAATTATTCTAATTATTAATTTAGTTGACAATTTAAATAAGTTAAAAAGGGTACTAGTCGGGGTTTTTTTTCTTTCTTTTTTTTGCGAAAAAAGAAATGCTCATGCTTCGGTGCAGTGACCTTCCTTATGGCAAGTACAATGGCTGCATCGAATATTTAAATGACTTCCGTTAAGTCGATCGTCGGGATTAATGAATGAAAAGTGGAAATAATTAAAATTTCTATTTTAAGAGGCTAATTGACATTGTACTCTGAGCGGTTTGTCTATTAAGATGATGAATTCTTTTTTATTTTGTTTTTTTACTTGAATTGAAGGGCAAAATAAAAAAGAAGAAGGGGGCGGAGGACAGTGGGTGGCAAAGAGAAGTCGGAGAATCGTAAAACGAATAAAATAATTAAATTGAAGAAAAGTATCTGTAAAATTAAAGTCGTGAGACGTCTGGGTGGTACTCGACATCAGGGCGAAGGGGTACATAAGAAAAAAAAAGAAGGAGAGGGAGAGGAGAGACTAAGGGGGCCTCGAAGCCCCATCGTGGTTCAAATTATTCGAATCCTGTACGATTTCCGAAGCCTTAGATAAGATCCGATTCAAGACGACGAAACTGAATTCATAAAGTCGTTGCCACATCGATGCTAATCATTCCTTTTCTTGTTTCTCTTAATCAATTTCTCAAAATAAAAAAAGGAAGGGAAAAGAAAATAAAAAAGCAGATTCACTCTTAATTGCTCGGTAAAAATGTTTCATGGTAATTAAATTAATTATCGTTTTTTATTTAATTAATGCAAATACATTTTTCTTTTCTGGTTATTGAAAATTTTGTTTGGACAATTGTTCGGAAAATTGCTTGTAAAAATTGTTTCGAACATTGTTTTTAGAATTGTTTTGGACGATTGTTCGGAAAATTGCTTTGAAAGTTGTTTCAATTTTCAAAGCAATTTTCTGAACAATCGTCCAAAACAATTTGAAAATTATTTTGAAAATTGTTTTTAAAATTGTTTTGAAATTTGAAAATTGTTTTGAACAAAGTTTTTAGAATTGTTTTGAAAATTATTTCGAGAATTGTTTTGATAATTGTTTTGAAAATTATTTTGAGAATTATTTTGAGAATTGTTTTCAGAATTGTTTTCAGAATTGTTTTGAAAATTATTTTGAGAATTATTTTGAGAATTGTTTTAAAAATTGTTTTGAGAATTATTTTGAGAATTATTTTGAAGTATATAAGGCAAAATTAATAAATCGTGGCGAAATAGAAAAGAAAGAAGTCAATTTCGTTGATTGGTGGACTCATTTGGCATTTAAGTTTTTTCTATACCTTTTTTTTACAAATGGCTGTTAACAAAGATTTCCTGGAATTATAGCCGAGAGAAGGAGGTTTCGTATATATGTGCCACTAACTTGCGGTATTATATACGTTCTTCGGCTATTTTTGTCCTCGTCTAACCCAATTCAGTAAAAAGAACTGAAGACGAGAGATCAGACCAAGTTCGGAAGCTTTGCGAATGTAAAAAGTGACGTCTCTGTTTCCTTCTGTATTGGGAATAAGACTGATGTGTCACTTTTTGTCATTTTCAATCAGAAACTTTTAAAACTCACGAAACAATTCCCAAGTTGCCACTCAAAATCATTGGTGGTTTGACTTTTAATTATCTCACCAGAGTCAATTACTTTTCAGAAAAGAGGGGTAATTTCGGTTAAAATTGGGAAAAAAGGGTTCGAACTTTTTTTTGTTCACTACGCGAGAGGCATTCGAGTAGTGGAATTGAGATGTAAAGTGCCATTTGGGTTTTTAGATTTTATCGGAATTGGGAAATATTGTGTATCAATGACGAATGA